ATTATTAATATTAATACTTAGCAACCAAAAATGAAAGTGTAACAAATTTTGTTATAATAAAAGAGATTGGCGAAAAGTTATATGTTAAAACATAAGACAAATCATAGAAAAAAAGAGAGCTAATATATAAATTACTTGAAAATTGCAAGTTTTTCACCCTCACAAATTTGCACTTGACCGACATCAACATGTACTTAGCCGATAGCTTGATACTCTTTTGCTTTTGCTTTTTTTTTTTTTCCATCAATAATGTGTATCCTGCTTTAACATAAAACAAAACAAATTAAATCAACTACCTAAAGAAAAAGGAAAATGAATTATAAAATTTTGGTACTATAAGGGTTATATAAAAATAAAAATGTAAAGAAAATGTTAAAAACTATACCTACGAAATTATAAACTGTACTATAAGGAATATCTCTAGTAGATATTTCCGTTTCTTTTGTGCTTTTGATCGATGGCTAATTAGAAGCACACATGAAAAATATTGTACAAATTTGTAGATGATATGCCATGACTGGGCTCCCTACTATTATTTATGCTATAATTGGGCATAAATGAAATTTAATTAATTTAATTAATAGGATGTCGTTTGAAATTTTTCATGCGAGGGTGAAGGGCTGCATTAATTAATTACCATTACTTTTTTCTTTAATGACGTATAAGCTGTTAAATATTTAGTTAAATTAAATTAGATAAATAGAAAAATGAGAGGAAAAGAGTAAAAAAAAAAAAAACCCAAAAAAGATAAATGTGATTCTTGGCCTGGTTGCCACATTAGCGGGCTTATATTTCTACTTTATATTAATATATAGATTATATATGTACGCCCATTTTCTTATCCTCTTACGTTGAGGAGTAAATCTACATCCAATTTCTATCAAGAACTGTTGCACCGGAAGGAGATGGTCATATGTAATACTTGTCCCAATAAATTAGTAACAATGATACCTCAAAATTTCAATGTCATGATATATTGATTGTGCGATTTCATACGTGGATTTTTTTTTTCTTTTTAAATCAAGAGCAACTAATTCATCCAAATACTAATAGTTACATCAACAGAAACAAATTAACTACGAGATTAGCAAGGTCATAGATTGTTATTTCAGCTACTTTTATCTACTATTGACAGAAGATTCACGACACTTTTAGATGATAGATGAGTTCATCAAATGATTTGAAGCATAAGCTACTGAGAGCGTCCAGATGGTGGAAGACGAGGCTCTACAAAAATCTAAGCAGATGGTATTCCTGATGACTCCGGGAGAAGAAGCCTCTGGCCTTCAGACTTCACCAGATTCCACTTGAGTAAGAGTACCAACAGTTGCAAGATCCAAAATTGCTGATCATAGAGTCAGCAGATATGAGCCGACTATAGCTAAAAGTAGCTTGTAAGCAACAAGATACCTGCAGGCATTTATTTACTACAATGCAATAACCTAAAAATTCACCACAAAAGGCAACATAACAAAATCTAGTAGAGAATAACAAGAAGAAATCAACAGTCTTAATTGAATATATCAGATTTCAAAGGTTCTTTCATGAGTTTATACTTGAAGTATGTTTTGGCAGAAGAATCAGTTGGTCTGGCTTTAACCAGACCGATGTAATGTCCGTCTTCTCTGAAATGCCAACCACAACATCAATGTCATTTTTTTGTTAACATACGCTGCTTCTTTGGCCATCATCGAGTTTGATTTGAATCAGTATAAATACGTGGATTGATGTCAAAGGTTTGAACAACTATCAAAAGAAAAGAAGGCTCCTTAAAAAAAAAAATTTGGATGATTTCTATACTGCATCCAAAGTGTTGTAATGCGGATACTATTGCTTTGAAAATTATTGAAACTATAATTTTTTCTTTACTATATTGTTATTTAAAAAATAAAGTTAAAATATACAAAATCGTATTCATTCATCCGAAACTTATGGGAGGCAAAGAATCCGTATCTTATCACATAGTATGAAAAATATACTTCCAAGTTAATAACATTTGCTGCAACTCAATATGTTTGTTCTTATTCTCAAAAATATTATTGATAGCTAATAAGTTTAAGTAGTTTAATTCAAAGTTCTAAAATATCAAAAAAAGTTCTACGGTCAGTTAACAAAACATATAATATGACGAAGGCCTAAAATCATATATAATCTGACTGCTACTTAGGAGGGGATCTGAGATGCAATATGAGGAAATAGTGATCAATCAGTTTTAACTAACTCTAACTGATGACTTGTTCCTCATAGATGGATGGCAAATGACAACAGTACACTATGGTAAAAAATACAGAAGAAATTTCAACCATCATCCTGTAATCAATATCCCTCTCCTGGATGCAACGTCGAAATATACGTCAGCCATGACATCACCTTCAATATCAATAAGATCCTGAAATGGATAGCAGAAGTGACACTTAGCTTCCTTACACATACATTAACCCTTCAATTAGAATTTTTGAGAAGCGAAGTTTGGAGAAACATAGAATAGCATTTCGAACCATGCAATAATTCAGAAATGTTTTGTTGCTTCAAATTTTCACAAGGACTTCATGATTGACACTCTAATTGTTTTGTAGATAACACTCTATTGCTTTCCTAGTGGATGTTTGAGAGGTGAAAATTGTGTTTAAACAGGCGCAAAAGAACCACCAAATTTAAGTTGTAAGACAAAAGATGGTCATAACAAGAATTGTAGTTTCAATCCAGCCCCAACTGATATTCTCTTTTGTAATCGTAACTGCAGTAAAGAAAATACCATTAATCGCCATAGAAGGGATAAATTCATGACGCAAGTAATTTGTAGCAGAGTATCCCTGACAATCTCAAAATCGGTACTTCTATTCATTGCATACCTTCAGATATTTGACTGACCATCAAAACTTTAGTAATGGTTTAAAATAATCAAATATAGCATGATATAAGACGTTATATGCTGTCCAGCTACATTCAGTTTTTTCGTGAGGTGAGTAAATGAGTATCCATCGATAACAAGAACCTGCGTCAAGAAAATTCTGAATAACATACTGAAGAAAAGATATCCCAACAGTTCATAGCAAGTCTTACCATGTGCTGTCAAAAGAACAAATTGTTGAATAAAACACTGGTAACAAGGACAGTACTAATATTTTGAGTAAAACACTGGTAAGAAGAATAAGAAACTGCGAAAATAGTGCTAATACTACTGCTAACAAGGAAGGTTCAAGTATGACCACCAAGCCTATCCCACGGGGAAGCGAGAGAATGCTCAACTACCAACTAACCTTCTACCTTAATCCACGACCTCCAAACTCTCCTATCTAAGGTTTACTCACAGATAATTGAAAACGATTTATGTCCCACAAACTCATACATGTACCTTGAGCATAGAATGTTAGAACAACTTGAATTTGGATGAATACACCAGCAAAGTTGTACTTCTCAAACATGGTTTCTACCTGTAATTCTAGTAAATCCGAGTATAAGTTAAGAATCATTGAAGCAGTACAAAGAGGGAATGCAATTTTCGAAAAAGAAAAACATTAACACAAACCATATTTTCACAATTTTTAGATGGATTGAGAGGCAGATTTGTCAGCAGAACGAAAGGAAAGCCTTATCGGTTAATCATGAACTTGTCATACAATAAGCATTTCAAAAAAAAAATCTCAAGAAGTAGCTATAACATCTAGTTTAGCAAGCAACTGTTGAACTAATAAAGTTTCAACCCGAATTTTCTTTCTCTAAGAAGAGCTTCCTAGTTTTCGATAAATGCAAGAGAACCCTTACATTTTCATTGTAGAGTAAGAATAAAGTGAGAGATGTTTACCTTCAAATTTTGTTCCATTAGGGACTCTTCATATTAGCATTGGCATCCCCACAACACAAGGGAATACAGATGTGGGAAAATTCTCACCCAAAAAGCCACACCTGACATACTGCATTAGTTCATCAAAACATTGAGAATTGACACACCATTTTACTGTTGCAATAGGTAGAATCATTAGTTATGTTTAAGCAAATAGTCGGTACAAAACAGTCTCTCACTTCATAAAACTGAAAAGCAGGTTCCACTAGGAAAGGAATAGCATCATGATTGAGTCATTACTCGTTAGAATGATCGTCTTCATAACCAGAAATTGAATTCAAAGCTTGCATCTTGTGAAGGAAAACTGGTTGACTGAGTTTTGGTGTTCAGAAATGAGTAGAGTTCCAAAAATGAAATAAAACCAAAACTAGTAGCTACAACAATTTCCTCTCAACTCCAAACCAGTTTGGGTCGGCCATATGAATTTTCACTATCAGTGCTGCAACACCAATTCAAAAGAGAGAACAATGAGAATACCCCAGCGTCGTTGTTGCAAATGATTATATATCTTCTAGCTACTCAGCTGGATCAATCATGGACTCCACTTTCCTTCAACTTTGCGATTTTTTGGCTTATGAAATCAGCAAAGATCCAAGCTTAAATGGAGAAAAAGAATAAGAAAAAATCTTGTAATAAGAAGTTATAAATAATACTATCCATTGGGTTTGCCCATTTTTATACATATCAAATATGTATCACGTTATTTATCCATTTTCACCTGATTCAGTTTCGACCAGTTCATATTCAATTTGTCACCCCTAATAGCAGCTAATAAGCAAGTTAGGACCAATAAAGAGTTGAAGCTCAGCACATGGAGACTTACAAGATGAGTAAAGTTCTATAAAAAGGTACCAGGCATGGAAATGCTATACCTAAAAGGGTTTAAGATTATGCAAACTAAAATAAGAAACTACTATCCAATCAGAGAAACTATTTTAAGCTTGTAGAACTGCAACGATTGATTTATATATTTGTGCACAACTAATAACTCGATGGTATCATCGAGCTATTTGCATATCTTTTCAACTACATAGAATCATTCTGCAGCCTCTGTTGATTAGCTAAAAGGGTTCCGGTTTCTCAATGACCAGAGAGCAAAATTGTATCTGTAAGGGAAAACCTGACTCATCTTTACACAAGCTAACAGCCTACATGGTTATAATTCACCATTTTGGTCAAATAGCTTTAAACCCCAGCTCACATCCTCACAGTGCCTCACATGAGGAACAATTTTGCTCGTGTCAGTTCCCGCTTTCTTTTTACAATCATAGTAAGGTGGGGCATGGAAACATGGCTCCAGTGATACAGCTTGAACGCAAGGTGGATTATGGGCTGTCCTGTTCTCAGGCTTGTATAGGATCCAGGGCTTCAAACCTCCAAGACCATGAGCTACATATCCAAAAGTCGACCATGCACTTGTAACCAATTTGTCTGTTAAACTCAGTAGATACATTTCTGCCAACGCCTTTCTTTCATGCCAGAGCTTCTCAGTTTGTTGATGTTCCTCCTGACTCGGCTGATAAACGCCAACGATCTCTCCTGTCACGGTGGGATGCTCCCAGTACATGTTTCGGAACTCTTCAAAGTATCCAATACTTAGAGAAGTGATCAGGACGGCTATGGTTTTCTGCTTCCCGGATGGATTGAGTATAGGCTCCTCCCGATTAATTTGTGGAAGCAGATTCTCATTCATCAAACAAGAGGTAATCTGATCCACTACATACTTAAAAGGACCAACACCTGTATCAAATACTCTAATTTGAATGCCTAGTTTTTCGTCTGCTTGGTCTAAATAAGCTTGATAGTACCTCATAACAAGCCCCCATACAGAATTAGTGGGATGGAACAGGTATCTACTCAGAAAGTGGAAAATGGTTTCTTTTTCCGGAAAAAGATTACTTAGCTCTTGCTTGAACTCTGGCATCAAAAATAGATAAGGCACAAAATAGTTATCTGTTCTCATGACTAGCCAAGGGATTTTGTGTAGAATACTTTGGTCCTGGTCACAGAAAAATAATTTATCTTGATCATCATAGTCATGAGCTAAATGAAGGTAGATGAAGGGAGGTAGTATTGAACCAGTTGAATTACCTATGATATCATGTTTCACCATATAACCATAGCAATGAGGAGATTCCTGATTAAACGTACTAAACAGGTCGATTATAGGAAAATCTGGTGGAAGCAACCAGGAAACCCCGGGAAAAGGTTCACAAAACAGATCAGGCATATTAACTCCGGGATCAACTAGTAGGACTCGATTTGTAAGCAGAGCATAAAGGAAAGCAGAAGCTAAGGTTAGCATCCTATTTCCTAAACCACTATACGAAATCCAAACCAAGTAATTGCAATCTGAAGAATCTCTGTATTGTCCAGACTTGATAAGTTCAACACTTGTATTGTATAATACTGTATGAGGTCCACATTGCTTATGAAGAGCCTCATAGTTTCGTAACTTTGAGATGAGATAAGAAGAAGGCTTCTGGCGTAGTTCTTTATGATATAAGACTGACTCGTGTCTACTTAGACAAGATCTTTCATCAAATCCAGAAGGAAGAAGGCCACCAAGTAGTTTATCTTTCTGCACGGTGATTGACAGATGACTAACATCTTCAGTGGCTGGAAAAGCGAAAAAAAGAAGTAAATCAAATAGAAGAAAAAGTTGATCATATTTTAGGGAAGCCATGCAGTCCAAATAGCACAAAATCAGGTAAAACAAACATTTTTCAAAGTGTCAGATCTACAATCAAACACTATAGAGTTCAACAAAATTACTGAGATGAAACTGATTCTTCTGCAGCAAACCTTGCTACTTAGCTTTAGCTTTATTCTACTGATTTAATCTTCAAAAACAAATAGCGTCTTTTTAACTTTCCTCACAGATCGATATACTTGGCAAATGAGCAAAGCACAAAATAAATATCTCAGACCCAAAGCCATTACTTTGTATCCATTTTCATCCCCAACATAAGGACATAGGGATAAACAGAGAATGTACTTGGGCTTTCACTTCAATAAATTAGTTATACACCAAGCAACAATAGGCAATTTGCAACAATATAATTAAGATAACACTGTGACAAATAATATTAAGGAAATGACAACCAAAAAACACCTAAATATTTTGGATTACTAACATTCAACCTAGTAAGGTGACCGCTCAGCTTATAATCCGCTTCAGATACTTATTACTAGTAATACTTCATTCCATTTGTGTGAATTTCTTTTGTTTAGTTCCATTCCTGCTTTTCAGTTCCAAAACCAAAACTTCTTATGGGCACTAGTAAAACTCTACACCATCAACATTGGAGTCGTGCACAATCCATGAATTCAAGTCTATACACACTAGTATTTGTTGACAGTGTATATATATATATATATGTAGAGAAATACTGAAAACACCTCTGAACTTGATGCAAATTATTAGTTTCATTTCTGAAGTATTATTGCCGGGCTTAAAAACACTCATTTACATGACTAACTAAACTTAGATACACCCCAATTTGTCATATGATATAGCAAGTGGTATCAAACTCTTGTAAGAGTCTGATACTCTTAATAGAAAGTCACTTAGATACCCCAATCTGACACATGACATAGCAAATGGATTTTGCAGCAATGTGTGTGTTGTATGTATTCTAGTTAGGACTAAATAATAAAATTAAAAGATGATAAACAAAAGTGAAAATCAAGTACCATTTGGAGATATTTTAACGTGAAAGAGTGTAGGTTCAGTCAAAAGCCTGAGACGAGTATGAGAGGGAAAGTCTTTGAGTATAACAGAGGTTGCTGTGAATACCATAAAACCAACGATAAAAAAAACGATAAGTTTGACAGGATTCAAACTCCACTTCGACATTGAAACAGGTCTATCCAAAGACGACACCGCCTGTCGCTGATCACTCCAGCTTCTCTTCAATCTCTTCATTTTACGTTCATCAAATGGATCGGAGTAATTAATTTATTAACAATACTAAATCGATCAAAGCTTATATTACGCACTCATGCACAATATACAGTATTTGTATTTAAATCAATGAGAATAGCCTTCTGCTCTGTGTGCAATTACACTGAAAAAATAATAACGGTTGGAAAAAAGTTTGTTGCCGCAGCTATGGGACGACAAGAAATATTCTCCGATGTCCTGCTTCATTCATTTAATATATTTTATGTGATTAATTACTATATTTTATTTTTTACATAAATAATATATTTTATTTGATTAATTACGCTTTTAAATGCTACTTTATTTTCATTACCATATATGACATAATTTTAGCTTTAACAATCATTTGATATAAATCTATATTAAAATTGTATAAATATATATTAGGTGAAGTTCTGCAAAATTGTATCAAAACTGTATTAAATATAAACAATAGATGGTTTGATGGTGGTGATTATGAAAAAGAAGAGGTGAGGCTCTGAAAATTTGTATTAAAGTTGTATTGAGATTGTATAAATATAAACGATAGTTATATGTAACGACCCGAACCGTCGTTATTTAGGAGAAACAAAGATCCGGAAAAAATCTGGGCCCTTGTCCCGCCATAGCGGGCCAGATGCCACTAGGGCGGCGACGCCACATCGGGGTAAACTGGTGCCACAACGGGATAGGTGAGGCAGAACGTAAATTACGAGAATTCCTATTTTCTCCACCTTCCTAAAATACCTAATTTAGTCGTAAAACACCCTAGAAAACCCCAAAAGGCTGCTGCAAGCTGGGAAAGAAGGGAGAGAGAGAGATTTCTAGTGTGAAGATGTCGATGGATTGCGGATTTTCGGCCGAATTCACCGTCACGAAGCCCGGAAAATCGGAATCGAGGTCAAGAACTCTGTGCAACTGCTTGGCGCCCAGGTATACTAGCTTTTATGAATTGAATAGTTATAAATTTGTGCTTACTACGTAATATATGGAAATCAATGGTAGGGTTGTGTGTAGACTTTCGTGCACCAAGTAAATTCCATGAGTAATCCCTAGAAATCAAAGTATGAGGATTTATACCTTGAGAAGAGAGATCGATGAATTGTTAGGGACTCTAGAATTGTTATCATGGATACAATTGGTTCAAGAATAAGACTATGAAATCATGAATGAAACTAGATTTATGAATGCATGCTAGATCATAAATTAGAGTGATTGAATTGAGGATTTATGATGAATTGTGACTAAACCCTAGAAAGAAGCCTTAGATGATGACTAGGGCTAATTATGGTCAAATTAATGTTTGTATATGAATGTTGCATTGTTGATCACACTTGTTGTCTATGAGATAGATGAATAACTATATGCCATGAATCACTTCTTGATTGTATGATTATTGAGAATGTACTTGTGATTGTGATTGTGATTGTAGTGTGTTGAATGGATTGGTTGTCACGTCTCGGCATAACTATTGGATCGGTTGCCACGTTCTAGCATAACTATGGAATCGGTTGCCACGTTCCGGCATAACTAACTTGGATCGGTTGCCACATTCTGGCATAACTAATTGTTTGGGTTTGGGTCCCATGAGAGGGCCAATGATATGATATAAAATGTGAAGTTGTTCGTTGTTCGTAAATATTGATGATATTGTATATGTTTGATATGTGTATGCGAGTATAGTGTTGTTTTGACTTGCTTATGTTGCATTTAGTGGGCACGTCTATGATGGGTAATTTTTTATTGTTCGTCGTAATGAGTGAACCTGTTGGGTATAGTGGAAGGGCAAAGTGTTCAAGAGGCTAGTAATAGATAGTAAGGGTTGTTCGTGTGTTGTAATGGCGATGAGTAGAGGTAGCGTGTGTAATGAAATATGCTTAGGTGGATTTCACCTTGGGGAAAAGAGATTGGGTTTAGTGTTAAGAGAGCTTGATGTAATGTATTATGTGACTATCGCTGGGTAATGTGACGAGAAAGTTGACATGAACGGTTAGTTGAAATGTTGGTGGTTGTATTTGGGGGATTTCTCTGTGTTAGAATGATTAGACTATGATCAAGTATCTGGTAGGCGGGTTGATTGAGAAGGATGACAGTATAGGCAGAATACTAGTGTATATTGGAGGTATTTCAAGAGAGGGTAAAGGTGGAGAAGCGAGTGGTTTATTTCATGATCTTACTAGTTGGTTTCTTATGTTATGTGGTGGGCGTCGGGTTGACCGATGATGCCTACCAGTATGCGTGTTTTGTACTGATACTACTCTTGCTATGTCTTTTAACATAGTCTGGATGCAGGATTGGTGACGTTTCATTAGGTGAAGACGAAGAAAATCTCCAACAACTTATATTCTTCCTTCTGCATGGTGTGAGCTGTGTCTTATATTTATTTGTCCAGTTGTACTCTTAGTAGCTCTTGTACCTGTTTAGACTAGATCCATGTGAGTTGTTAATTTACTTTACAAGTTTTAACTAAAGGTGTGTCTAAAGAAATTATTTATAAAAATCATATTATTATATTTATCTCGGTTTCTCTTAAATTTTCTGCATGTTTTAACTATTGGGATATGAGGGTTCTCCTACTTAGGTGTTAGAGTGGGTGCCCGCACGGCCCGGTGGATTGGATCGTGACATTATAGTACAATTTAAATTCAATACTATACATTATTATAAATTCGATAGTTATTATTACAGAACAAATATAATATATTTATAACAATGTAAACTAATTTAAATAGTACCGGTATGTTTGAAATTCACATATAATACTTATAATATATTTGTATTAAAAATGTTTTAGTTATATATTAGGTGAAGTGTTGAAAAATTGTATCAAAACTGTATTAAATACAAACAATCGGTGATTTGGTGGTGGTGATTTTCCGAAAAAGAAGGAAGCTCTGAAAATTCTGTATTAAAATTGTATAAATGTAAACGATAGTTATAATACAATTCGATATTATACATTACTATAAATTTGATAGTTACTATTCCAGAACAAATATAATACATTTCTAACAATGTAAATTAGTTTAAATAGTACCGAAATATTTGAATCACATATAATACTTATAATATATTTGTATTAAAAATGTTTTACTTATATATTCTCCATGTGCATAGAAACATATATATAATCTTATATATAGGAAAATATTTTATTCAAAATGTATTACAATTACTGTATATTTTTTTCTCTTATTAGCGATACTAAAAATGTAGTATATCTAAATTTCAAATATTATTTTAATATAATTAGAATTATTATTTTTAAGATATGTTAAAAATGTTGTATATTGGTCATTTCTTTTTAAGATACGTTAATATTATTATTTTTAATGTATTATATAATATATTTTGAATGTTATTTATTAAAAATAATACTATCAGTTGGTGGCCAATTTACCTATATATATATATAAGCCATGCCAGTTCTTAGGGGTCGTTTGGTGTGAGGAATAAAAATAAATAGTTCTGAGATAAAAATTTAGTGTCTTGTTGGTTGCCATGTTTGAGATAATTTATCCCACCATTTATACCATAGTGATGGGATAAGTTATGCCATATACAGGGGCGTAGACATATGTATGGAAGGGTGTCCAATTACACCCTTCCTCGGAAAAAAAAATATTGCATATACAAGTAAAATGTTATATGAAGTGATTAAATAACATATTTTGGACACCCTAGACATAATAAGTTATTATAGCCTAGTGGTTTAAGATGTCATGAATGTGTGTTTAGACATCTTTAATGAGTTGTGCTTG